TCCTCAAACCCCCCCTAAACCTCCCCAGATCCCCCCTAAACCTCTGGAAACCTCCTCAAATCCCCCCGAAACCTCCCCAAACCTCCCCCGAACTGCCCCGAAACTCCCTCAAATCCCCTCCAACCCTCCCTAAACCACCCCAAATCTCCCAAAAAGGATTTTGGGGGTGACCTGGAGCTGTTTGATGGTCTCCCCGCCCTTGCCGATGACCAGCCCCGCCTTGCCCGCGGGGATCATCAGCTCCTGCACCGTCCCGTTCTGCCCGTTGGCGGCGTCGGGGAAGGGTCCCGGGGGTCCCCCCCGGCCTCGGGACACGATGTCGTCCAGCAGGGCCTTGGCCTTCCTGGGGAGGGGGTTTGGGGGTCACTGAGGGGGATTTGGGGGTCACTGAGAGGGATTGAGGGGGATTTTGGAAGGTTTGGGGGGATTTGGGGAGGTTCAGAGGGGAATTTGGGGGGGTTTAGGGGGAACTTGACGTCTCCAAGGACAATTTTGGGGTCCCCAGGTGCCATTTTTAGGGTCTCCAGCATGATTTTAGGGCCCCCAAAAACAATTTTGGCGTCCCCAGGGAGATTTTGGGGTCCCCAGGGTGATTTTGGGGTCCCCAGATGCCATTTTGGGGTCCCCATGATGATTTTGGCGTCCCCAGGGTGGTTTTGGGGTCCCCAGGGTGGCTTTGGGGCCCCCAGGGCGGCTTTGGGGTCACTAAGGGGTCCCCAGGTGCCATTTTGGTGCTCCCAAGGACAATTTTGGGGTCGCCAGGGTGATTTTGGTCCTCCCAAGGACAATTTTGGGGTCGCCAGGGTGATTTTGGTCCTCCCAAGGACAATTTTGGGGTCCCCAGGGTGATTTTGGTGCTCCCAAGGACAATTTTGGGGTCGCCAGGGTGATTTTGGTCCTCCCAAGGACAATTTTGGGGTCCTTAGGATGATTTTGGGGTCCCTAGGATGATTTTGGGGTCCCCAGGGCGGCTTTGGGGTCACTCACTGCACGGATTCCGGCGAGCCCGTCAGGGACACGCTGCGCTCGGGTAACCCGCCGCTATCTGGGGAGGGGGGGAGCAAAACCACAAAAAAAACGGGGTTCAGGGGGGGTCCCCCACATTTTTTGGGGTGTCCCCCACGGTTTGGGGGGGTCAGGAAGGTTTTGGGGTCCCCCCTGTGCCCCCCATACCTGGGGAGATCTGAACTTTGCACCCCGAGTCCTGCTGGATCTTGTTGATCTGTTCTCCCCCCCGGCCGATGACTGTGGGGGGAAAAAGGGGATTTTGGGGGGGTCCCCAAAATCAGCCAAAAGTTTGAGAGCACCCCCAAATCCTTGAGACCACCCCCCAAAATCCTCAAATCTCTGAGACCCCCCAAACCCCCCCTGGGACCCTCCAAAATCCCCCCAAAAATCACCCCAAAGCTCTGGGACCAACCCCAAAAATTCCCCAAATCCCTCACAAACCCCTCCCCCAAAATGGGGTTTGGGGGGGGTCCCCAAAATCAGCCAAAAGTTTGAGAGCACCCCCAAATCCTTGAGACCAC